GCCGCCGGGTCGACGCTGCAGCCGCCGCCGCCGCCAGAGAGGTACGCAACGCGCAGCCCCGACAGCTCGGCGACGCCCGCGCTGCCGAGGTAGAAGAGCTGCGGCGCGAGCTCGCCGCCGGGACCGGCCGCCGCGAGCGCAGGGTCGGGCTCGCCCGGCCGCGACGCGAGCACGTACGTCGGCAGCGGCACAGCCGCATCGCCTGACAGGTAAGGCGCGAGCGCGGCGGCCGAGGCGTCGGCGGCGCCGAGGAAGTCGCCGACGCAGAGCAGGAAGGCGAACGGGCCGTGCTTCGCGTTGACGGCACCGACGCGGGCGAACAGGCGCGCGAGGTCGCCGCCCGTGTCGCCGGCGACGAGGAAGCGGGTAGTGGCTGCCATCGTCAAAAAAATCGTCCGCGCCGTCGCCCGTCGGGGGCGCTGTCGCGAGCGAGGGCGCGTGCGGCGAGCCCACTGCCGCCGCCCCCGGCCCTGGGGCGAGTGCGGCACCTAGCGCGCCGGGCGCTGGCAGGGGGGCGGCGGCGCCGCCAGCTGCAGCGCAGGCGTCGGCGGCCGGCGCATGTCCGACGAGCGAGGCGTCGTCGGCGGCGGTGTCGGCGGCGGCGTCGTCAGCGGCGGCTGCGGCCTCGGCCGCGGCGGCGTCTCCGCTGGTACCGCTAGGGGCGCCGCCGCCCTCGCCGAGGTCTAGGAGACGCGCTGGGGACCCGTCGCCCACCTCCACTCGCCCGTAGAGCCGCGCGTAGGTGTGCGCATCCTGGCGTACGCCCAGCTGCGCCTGCTCCTCTGCGCCGACGTGTCGTCGGCAGAACGCGCCACGTTGCTCCGCTGGCGGGCGGAGCGCGGGATGAACCAGCCGGAGGACGCGATGCACCGCCTCGGGGAGGACCTCCGGGACGAGGCGCGAGTCAAGGAGCTCGCCGAGAAGTGGCGGCCCCGCCTCGCGGCGGCACGCTACAAGAAGCAGCCCGCAGGCACGGGCCTGCGCACCGAGCACCTCAAACCCTTCTTTGAGGAGCTCGAGGGCGGCTTCGTCGTGCTGTTCGAGGCGATCGAGCGCTTTGCCATCCCCGACTGCATCACGCGCATCGCGGCGACGGTGCTCTCGACCCAGCTGCTCAAACGCCTCGATGACGGGACGCCGTCGATGCTCGCCGGCACGCGACCCATCGGCATGGGCGAGGCCCTCTTCAAGGAGGCGTGGCGCGCGCGCGCGAGCTGGGCGGCGAAGACCATCGGCCCCGTGCTCCTCTGCTTCGGTCAGATGGCCGTCGGCCTACCCAGCGGCGGCGAGGGCGTCGCCACAGCGCTGCAGCTGTACTGCGACTCACCTGCGCTCGATAGCCGCGCCATCATCATCGCCCTCGACTACTCCAACGCCTACTCGACGAGCCTGCTCGACTCGTCGGCGCGAGCGACCCTGAAGCTGATCGAGTGGGTCAAGCAGCTCGACGACGCGACGCGGGCGCGGCTCGCCATCAAGAACGCAGACGAGGTGGTCCGGGCGGCGGAGGCAGCGCTTGACGACCTCGCCTTCCTGCGGACCCACCACGGCGAGGTGCTGACAGTCGTCGACGGCAGCCTGGACCGCTTCGCCGTCCGCCTCGGCTTCACGCAAGGCGGCCTCTTCTCCATGCTGAGCTTCTGCATTGCCGTCTGCTTCCTCGTCCTTAAGCCGCTCAAGGAGAGGTACCCGGAGGTTGTACCAAAGTGCATCGCCGACGACGCCCACGCGCCGACCGTCATCCGCGAGGCCGCCGACATCGAACGGGCGGCGGAGTGGTGCACCGCCTACGTCAAGCTCTCGGAGCGAGAGCTCAACCTCTCAGCGAACGCGCGCAAGTTCAAGATCCTGCAGTCGCGGAAGTGGCATCGCCTCCGCCTCCGCCGCGATGGCTCGCCTCTGCTCCTCCAGCGCCGCCGCAGCCGCCGCCCAGCGCGCCTCGTCCGCCGCCCGCTCTGCTTTGCGCTGCCGTGCCGTATGCTCGCGCTCTCGCGACGCCGCCGCCTCCTCTCGCTTGCGCTGCTCGCGCCGCCTCTTGGCTTCAAGCGCCTTCTCCGCCGCCTTTTCTGCTGCCTGGGCCTCCCTCACAGCCGCTGCGTGCTCTGTGAGAGCGCGCATGCACCCGGCGTGGTCCATCGTAGAAGCAGTGGCGTCGACAGTAGCCAGCTTGCCCTCCTCCTCCTTGGCGATCTGCAGCGCCGTCATGCCGGCCGCAGAGCGCGACTTCATGTCTGCGCCAGCCTGCAGCAGGCAGAGCACGACGGGGAGGTGGCCGTTGTAGGCGGCGGTCATCAGCGCGGTGCCGCCTTTGCTGTCCTGCGTGTTGACTTGAGCGCCGTGCCGCAGCAGCAAGTCGACCACCCGCTCGTGGCCGTCTGATGCGGCGCACACCAGCGCGGTGCCGCCGCTGTTGTTTTGCTTGTTGACCTCAGCGCCGTGCTGAATCAGCAGCTCGACCATCCGCTCGTGGCCTTTGAGAGCGGCGCCCATCAGCGCGGTGAGGCCGCCGCTGTTCTGCAGGTTGATCTCCGCGCCGTGCCGCAGCAGCAGCTCGACCACCCGCTCGTGGCCTCTGTGGGCGGTGCACATCAGCGCGGTCCAGCCGCTGCTATCCTGCAGGTTGACCTCAGCGTCGTGCTGCAGCAGCAAGGCGACCACTCGTTCGTGGCCACTTGAGGATGCGACCATCAGCAGCGTTAAGCCAGTAGTCACATCTCCATCCTTGGAACGTGCCTGATGTGTAGCATTTGCTCGCCCGCCACCCTCGAGACACGAACGCACCGTCAATTCGTCGCCACGCTGGACCGCCTCAAAGCACGCAGTCTCGAGGCCAATGCACTTCACGAGGGCATGCTTGGACCATGCTTGGACCAGAAGCTCGCTGGAAGGCATGATCTCCGCCGGGCGGGGGGTCGCAGAGACAGCGATGCTCGTCCCATTTTACGTCCAAACAAAAGACACACAGAAGGTTTGGTCGCACACGCACGATTCCGCCAAACAAACAACAAAAGAATTAACACAACTCTCTCTCACACACACACAGCAAAAGAAAAAGAAAACGCCCTCGTGTTCCAGTATGCAGTAACCGCCACCCCATGCATTTCCGGACATACATGCACAACATGCACATGGCAGCTCTTCCGCGCCTCCCGGCACCGCGTCTCGCCCACCTCACTCGACCATCTCCACCCCGTCACCACCCTTTTCTCGGATCATCGCCAGGCCCTTCTCGTGCGCCGCCGCGTTCGCGGCGCGGCAGCCGCCCATCAGGCAGCGCGTGCGGTAGCCGAGCGTCGCCGCGTGCAGCAGCGACGACGCCACGCAGCGGTTGGTGACCACGCCCACGAAGCTCAGCTGCGTGCCCTCCGCTGGCCCATAGCCGCGCGCGCTCAGCTGCTGCAGCAGGGTCTGCGCGTCCGCACGCGGCAGCCCGTCGTCGTCCACGTCCACGTCGTCGAGCCACGCGGCGCCTCCGGTGCGCTCCGACGCCTCGCGGTCCTCGTCGAAGGCGTCGTCCACCTGCTTACGGAGATAGAGGGCCGGCGTGCCGTTGGCCGTGCCTTCTTTGCCGTTGGCGCTGGTCACGTCAGGCAGCTTCTCGCGGATGCGCCGCGAGATGTCGACGCCCGGGCAGCCGGCGGCAATGGTCAGGTATTTATCGTAGCCGACCAGCGCCACCGGCTTCGTCGGGTCGCTCCACGGCGTCTTATCGAGCGGAAACACACCCAGCTCCTCCGCGCCGCTTCGCTCGAGGTAGTCGGTGGTAAACACGATCAGCTCGTACTCGCCGCTTTGAATCTCGGTCACGGCGCGCGCTGCGACCGTGTCCATCGCCTCGCCGGGCAGGCCTTTGTTCCAGCCCTTGTTGTAGCTGATCTTGGGCTCGCTGCCCGGCTCATAGGCTGTAATGAGCGCGCGTGAGCCTAGCTCGTACGACGCCTTGACCGCATGCTCGTCCTGGATGAAGCCCAGCGAGCCGCCCACATCCGCAGGGAGCGACGCAATGAACTCGGAGTCGTACCCATCTTGCACGTCGATGACGACGAGCACGCGCTTAATCGATCTCGCATCGTTTTGCGAGCTCGCATCGTTCTTCGCGCTCTGTTGCTGCGCAGCGCACGTCCGGCAAAAGTTCTTGCGCAAGATCCCGAGTCCTTTTTTGCCGAGCGCAGCCTGCTTTTGCGGCTCGTCGTCGTCGTCTAGATCACCATCGTCTACTTGCGCGACATCCGTGGTGGTCGTGAGCTCTGCCTTACCGACGCTTGCGCTTTTCACCTGACCCTGCGCGACGGGCGGCGAGCCGGTGCCCGACTGCGGTTGAGCGCCGTCATCGGCTGGCTGCTTGCTCCCAACACAACCCATCCCGCCGTCTCGAGGTGTGAAGAACGCCGTTCACACGTTGTGCTACGAACAGGCGGCGACGTCCACTCACAGACGGCTATTTTGCGCTGCAGCGTGTGCCTGCGCGTGCGGCAGCGTGCGATTCCGGCCGACAGGCAGTGCGCGGCGTTCGACTTCCACGTGCGGCCGTGGGCGGAGGAGGCTAGCCGCCTCTTGGCCGTGGCGGCGAGGGATGCGCTCGGGCGGGAGGGGCTGGCGGAGCTCCTCGGGACGCTCTCGGACCCCGACGAGCGTGACGCCCTCTTGGGACCACGCCTACTCAAGGCCGTCTCCGCACTCCCCCCGGACGCGCGCCGCGGCGGGGATGGGAAGGTCCGCGAGGCGTCGGACGTCGCCGCGGAGCTGCTCGCCGCCCTGGAGAGCAGGCCCTCCGAGGCCCTCGACTGCGCTTTCGACGCTGCCCTGCTGCGCGAGCGCCTCTCGAGTCTGCTGGGCATCGGGACGGCGAACGCGGCGCACGTGCCGCTTCCGCCGGGCCCGGCGGCGGCCTCTGGCGCCGACCGAGAGGATGTCTACACGCAGCCGGCGGCCTCAGTCGGTCAAGGGGGGGCGGGGGGCCAGGCCGGGCCGCCCGCGGGCGCGCAGGAACCCACCGCTCGCGAGGGAGGCGGCGCGGCGGGCGCGCAGGCGAGGGCGCCCCCGGAGTCCGGGGCACCGGCGCCCGCTCCGGCGGCGGCGAGTGAGCCCGCGGGCCCTCGACCGGCGGAGGCTCCACAGGCGCAGGGCCCATGGGGGCGGGGCACGTGGGAGCTTCGGAGCGGCGCCGCGCCTAGCGCCGCCGAGGTCGCTGCCCGGCCCCGTGCTGCTGCTGCTGCTGCTGCTGCCACGGCTGCCTCTCGCGCTGGGGGCGCTGCCGCTTCCCAGCCTGGGGTTGTAGGCGGTGGCGCGAGGGGCAGCGGCGCCGCCGGGCGCCCGGCGGCGCCGCCGCCCCGGGCTGGGGACCCTAACCCTGACCCAGCGCCGCCCGCGGCCTCGGCCGGCCCGCGCTCGAAGCCGGCGGCGACCGACAGCGAAGGCTTCAGCCTCGTTGCGGGCTCCGGCACGGCGGGCTCTCGGCGACCCGCTCGCGGTGGCACGGCCAAGGGGCGCGGGCGGCGCGGCGGCGAGGCGGCTCCTGCCCCGAGCGGCGAGGCGGTGCCTTCCCCGAGCGCTTTTGCCGCCCTCGAGGGCGTTGACGAGCGCGGTGAGGCGGCGTCGGCGACAGCTCCGACCGGGGCCGCCGGACCGGCGGCGGCGGCACCGATCGCGCCGTCCTTCATGGCGCCGAGCGGGGACGATTCGCGCGTCAGCGTGTCCCTCGGAGCTGCGCGCAAGGCCATGTCCGCCGGCGATGCGGCCTTTGGCGCTTGGGACATGCAGGCGGCCGGGGACTGGTACGGCCGCGCTGCATCCTTCCTCTCGTCGGCTGGCGGGTTGCGGCTGGACGCGAAGGCGACGAGGGAGCTGCGGAAGGCGCAGGCGAGCCTGGCGTCGGCACAGGACCTGCTCGCGAGCGCGGGCGACGGGCAGGCGCGGAGCGCCGCCGGCGGCGGCAAGCGGTGTCCTTGT